TGATCATTCTGTTTAGCTTCCACAGTTAGCACAGGCTATCCAAAAGTATTTATTTAACCTTTCATCTACATTTCAAAAATGAATGAGTCATGTATTAGGCCAGGGTACCAATTTCAACAAATATTGAGGTTTTGGGATTTAGTGCTCCCAGGCCTTAAATAAAGTTCAGGTGGTACAGATTTGATTTTTCCCTGATCTATGACTGAGAGGAATAAGAAATTAATAATATAGGCACTGGGCACAATTTGTCAAATGAGTGCAATTTCTTTTTCACTCAACAGCATGTTATTTGTTACCAAAGACATTTTTTCACTATGGGTCTTGACTACATCAACCCTCTTCTCCTCTAGGACTTCTTACTGCATTTGAATAAGAAATAAGATCCTTGTAAATGGCTCCTGAAACCTCCTTTGGGTCACAGTTAGACCCAAGGATGGCCCCACTTCCTGTGTTTCTCCCTGTGTCCCTTGACCAGCTTTTTTCATGCCCACTTGGCCCTCGACTTGTTCCTTCATGACACAAACCCAAATCTGAGTGGGCCACAATGTTTTAGATGGAATTAAACAGAGTAGAAAAATTGGAAAAAAAATTTTCAGGCCTATTTCAATTCTGCAAAGTTGTAATTTTTAAGTTATGAAATCCAACTTTCTAAACCATCACTTCCTCCCCCTCCCATCAGAGTCATTCTATTCCTTTCAACAAGTACCAGAATAAGAATGCACACCCCCCCCCACTTGCCTCCACAAGGTCTTATCCAGAATAGAAAGTAAACCTCTTCAATTTCCCATTACTTAAGACTGCGATTTACAAAAATTCTTCCTGATCTTTAGCCACTTCCCTCGCAGAGAGCACCCAAACCTGGTGCCAGGCATGTAATTAGCACACCATAAATACCTGTTAATTGATTGACAATGTTAATAGTATTCATTCTTTTCATTTCACATACTTGTTCAGTGTTTTTACCTGTTGTCTATTTATCATCTACGCCTACCTCCATTGTTGTTTTCTCTAAAACTACAAGCTGCAGAGTGTAGGAGCCACGTTTCTTTGAGTCATTGTGGATAATGGGCTGTAGAGAGATGCTTAAACAGGCTTTTCAATTGATTGATTAATAGAACGATTGATGGATGGGTAGAGGAAAGGGTGAATGCATTACAGCATTCTCCATTTGCTATTCCAACAGACTAAACTTACCAAAGGAGTCCTGCTCTGCCCTTGCCCCCTGAACAAAGCAGGAGAGGTAGGTGAGTGAGAGGGTCAAGGAACAGCCGTCCCTACCGCACACAACAGAGGAGGGGGCCTTGCAGAGGGTACCGCTTCTTCTGCCACTAATTGCTGCAAAACATCTTCTGAGGCAAGGTGGTTATTTTCTATTATTCCTTGGTCATTTTTTTTAGAAACTTGTATTTTTTAAGTTGTAAAAGGAAAAAAACTAACAAGAACTATACTATTTTTAGCCCCACACTTTTTAATTTTGAGTCACAGTAAGTACAATTAATTCCCCTGTAGTTGATAACTTATTTATTCATTGTCTAGTATACATTTAAGACTGAATGTATACTAGAATGTAGATAGACTTTGTTTCACAAATCAAAAAAACGCATAAAATAGAAACACAAAATATTTAAATTGCCAGATTTAATTTAGAAATTTAGAATGCATGCTAATTTCAGGTCCAACCTTAGGGTTTTTGGACTCAAGTACATAAAAACTTGTTTTCCCAGATTGTTTTAACCAGATAGAGGAGCAGACAGGACTATACACGTGGAGGCAAGCAAAAGCTCTCTAGGTTTTCGTGAATTCTGTCTAGAGATACCGGGCCATGTCTCTGTCCATGTTTATTTCTGCCAGTGCTACATGCAACGTGCAAGAGGGATGAGTTCCCCAGAAGCTCCACCCTGCGGGCCCTTCTGGGGCACTAACTAAAAATCCATTACTCTTTCTGCCACTCAAGAAAACATATCAGAATCTCATACATGAATAACTTAGGAAAGAGTCCTACTTATTTTTTAATTGTTCACTTATTTTTTTGAAAATATGTATTGAGTATCTACTATGGGCCAGGTATGATTCTAGGCATTGCAGATACATAGGTGAGAAAATACAGAAATTCTCTACTCTCACAGAACGTATATTCATGTAGCTGGGCCGTTTCTTTGCTAGTGATTAATTGGATACAGTACACAACAGTACACTCACTCTTTCTCTTTGGCTCCTTAGCACTGTTCTATGGGCTGTAGAGAGAATAGACAGAAGTAGGAGCTGAGGTAATGGAGGGATCTAACTCAATCTTCAACAAATCCTCCACGTCCATTATGCAGAAGAGACTGGCCCAGGAGGTGCCTGTGCCCTGTCCTTCAGCATTGGGACTACCACAGTAATACGGCTCTATACTGACTCTAGAAATCTCCATTTGCCATACATGGTGATTGAGAATCTTGGCTCCTAGTGAGGCTTAGTATGCCATTATAGAAGAATATTTCACAATAGACCAGTGTTAGGGTGTAAGTGAAACAAAATCAGTTTATAAAACATATGTAGTATAATACGGTTTTGTTTAAGACAAAGAGCAATTATGCGTAGAAAAAGATGGCTAGAATGTACAGCAACCTGTTGGCAGTGGATGGCGGTGAGGACTGTGGGTGCTGTGCATGCATGAATGCACGTGTGCATGCACTTTTCAATGCCCTCTAAATTTCCTACAATAAAAGTATCTACTGAATTCTCTCATCAGCAGGAGAAAAATTTCACTCCTCCCAAAGACTACATCAAATATTACTGCAACAAAGGAGCCAGCCCCCCGGTCCAGGTGGCCTCCTTTTGTAACTTGGGAGGTGATGTTATTTGGCCTTGCCAGGAATAAAGCCCTGGAAGTTTTCCTTGGCAAAGTTCACTTGTACCTATTCGCCAGCAGCAAAATCCTGACCACAGCGTTTTAACCCTGCTATTGAGTGCAGTGCACCAGTGCTATTCCAGCACCTGTCAATAGTTGGTAGTTTTTACAATAGCATTTATTCTATTGATATAAATTATACATTCTTTCACAAACATCATCAAAAGAAAACTTAGCACAATGGTGTCAAACACAAGACCTTTCAATATACACGTTTTTAAAGGAGGTGGTAGATTTATAAAGCAGGCAAGGCACTACGCTCGCTTGAAAGACATATATATTAAAAAGGAGTGTGCTAAAAAAACCCCAACATGGCATACCTACTCTCAGTTTGGTCTGTTTCCTCCACCTTTTGGAGAAAGTGCAGGGCCAGTCACCAGTGGAGAAAAAATAAATGATTGTGTAAACTTATAGACTCGATTTAGCACAAATTGGCAAATATATTTAATGGTTAATTATCTGCAAAAAACTTCAGTCTTGTCACTTTTTAATTTTCTGGTCAGCATTTTAAAAAAGGAACCAACTCTAATTAGTTAAATAATTTTTTCAGGTCCTTCTGAAACTGATTTCTATAAAGCTCTTGGAAAAGCTTGCTTTTGTTTTGGGCTGGGATTTTTTTAAAGTTAATGTAATTCCCTTATATGAAAGCTAAGAGCACCTGCACCCTTAACCCAACTCTTAAGCAGCAAAACATTTTTTTAAAATATTTTTAAAGCCCAAATCTAGGAGCTCTGAGTTTCTGCTGCTATTTATCTGTGCTGAGTGGCAAAAAGAGAGCCTAAACCTCCCAGATAGAAAGTTGGATTGGAGAGTTAGTATGAGATTTGCTTCAGCCCTCTGATAATAATAGAATCTAAGGAGAGGATTCGTATAGCTAGTGTGGAGTCAAAATCATAGAAACACATGTAGATAATTCCAATTAACTACTGGCTCCATTTAGAAAAGAATCTCCTCCTGAGAAAAGAGGTTTTGAGTTTATCTCCCTTGTCCTTGCTCCTTTACCTTTGAGCTTTTGGGGGGCTTGGGGATGGGGGCAGAAACGCTAACCTTAATTAATGGAAGATCCACTACACTCCGAGCAAGGGTTTGGGTCCCAGGCCTGGGTCTCCTCCTGCGCCTCTCCTGAGAGTAACGAGCAAGCAGGCTTCATTACTGGCAGCTGAGGGGAAGGGTCACTGGGAATGGATTTGCAGGGCCCTCATTGAACGATCACTCCATGCTGAGAGGAGCTGGCCATGCTCTCGGACACCTGGTCATTAACATTGCTAATTAGCAGCCATTAATCAGGGCGCTCGCTTTTTTTGTTGTTGTTGCATGTCACCGGCTCCGAGGAACCAAGTGAATAAGAAGATTGTTTCATTACCTCCACAAGAGGTGGAATGAAAGCAGTTCCCATCAGCTCAAGATGAGATGGATTAAGGGGAAGGTTAGACAACAGTTTGAGATGAGCTGGGGCGGGCGGGGGTCGTTGGAGGGGCCAGGAGACCTGAGCTGTCTGCTTAGGGAAAATCAGTCACCTATAATTAATGAAATCTATTGCACCCTAATTCTCATCATCCTGTGAGCAGTCCTCCCACCACCAAATTTTTGTATCTTAAGAGCTTTATTTTCTTCTGTTAGTACAGGGACCTGTCTTTAAGTCATTTTAATTCTGTTTGAAACTCAATATGTTTAGGTTTGATATTTTCTGCCATCTCATTCTAAATCCATTTTTCCTTCCAAAAGATGGGCATTTAAAAATTTTAAGTAGTTATAGCTGAAGCACTTCCAGCATGTCTTCACATATTTAACTCCAATGGATACATTCCAACCAACAGTCCAAGGATAATGAAAAAATAATTCTACACTTTTTAGAACAGAAAAAATAAGTGGGTTATTGTTACTCTTTACTGCCCCTAAAAGGCAAGAGGCAATGAAAAGCCCCTATATTGGTTTGTATGTAATGACACTAAGAAGAATAACATGTCATTAAAAAGGGCTAAAGATTGTGTGTGTCTGTGTGTAAGTTGTTTCTTGCTGTTAGTCCAAGTGCAATGTGATAAACATGTTTCAGCGGCGTGTTTCTCTTCTGGAATGTGGGGTGTGGTGTGGAACACATTGTATTTACCTTAATTTCTGGAAAATGGAAATCTTGGTAACAGGTTGTATGTCCAAGTGTTGTTGATATTGTTGGCATTGTTTATCTAGAAAAAATATTAAAATATTGTGAGACTATTTATTTAATTAGCAGTTAGTTTGCTGCTATAAATTCATTCATTTATTTATGAAAATATACTCACCCAAGAGTGGCAAAGCAGATCTTGACTTTCGTGGGAAGTTCTCTGTATTAAACAGCAAGCACTTCAGCATTTTGCTGTTTCTGCTCTAAGTCTCTCTGCAGTGAGTTACAAAACGTGGTTTGCAGTGGCACTAAGTGACTAGGAAGCAGAGATTGCCTAAGTATTTATTAGTGCTGTGGCTTCATTTGGACATGAGTAATAAATATACATTTGCTCATGTAATACGTACCCCCGCACTTTCAAAGCAAAATGCCCATTTAATGTGCCCTACATTTCCAAACAATAAAAGCTAAACCTGTTTTTTTATGTACTAATTTGCTCTGTTTACAAAGAACTCTGAAGTTGTTGGGCAAAGGAAGCAAGTATGTAAAACCAATCTGGAGAGCATTTCAATTGGGTTGGAAATCCGTAATATGATTTCTAGGACTTCATGGGAAAGTTGAACACTCAAGGGGAAGTTACACAAAGAACAGCTGAGAAAAAGTTGCATTCTGGCACAGAATCATGCAAATGGGGCACATTCTTCAGTTTTCTCATGACGGATTGCCTCTGAAACCACCGAGCCGAGCTGCGGCAATGCTAATGAGGGAGATGCATCAATGAACAGTGTCATCCCAGGGGCTTCCAAAGGGGTCGGGGATGAGGAGGGGGCCGGAGGGAGTTGGAGGAGGGAGGAGGAAGGAGGAAGAAAGGAAGAAAAAAGTGGTGCGGGGGGGGGGGGGGGGAAAGGGGGGGAAAATGGAGGAGGAGCAGGTGAACTTTGAATTATTAGGGCTAGGGCATTAAAGAACAAAAGTAACTTAGCAGGTAGCTCTGGAAGGTATTAAATGAACAGCCTTAAAATTATGTCCTGTTAAGATTTTAGAGATTTTAAAAAGCAAAATAGGATGGGAGATAGAAAACTTTTTAAACTGCCTGTTGGACAAAAAAAATGATATTAAAGTTGGGAGCTAAAATGCTTCTATCCAGAGAATAACTTGTGGTTTCTTTACTAAGGACTGTAGACTCCAGTGAGAGAGACTGGGGGACCATCTATGCCAGGAAAAAAATGTAGCACTTTTTAGTCTTAACTGCTCTGTGGTTGCAGATTTCTAATTTAAATACATTTTTAAATTTCTGTTAGTGCATACATACATTTGTAGCTCATTTACCACAAATGAAATACAGTTTTATTGTCATTTCAATTGTGTTTTGAAAGATTTTCTTCTCTTTAACTGCATACACAGAAAGATTAGTTTTTTAAAAAGAATGTTTCTCTTGAGATTAGCACATGATGACTCTCGTAGAGATCTGTGAGATTTCTCTTTCTTGAGTTGCTGATACCACTCACTTGCTTCCATCTCACCTAGTGGATGCAAATTTATCAATTTATTTTTATTTGCTTTTCATTCTAGGTTTCCAACACAAATTTCTCATGGAAATCAAATCAGTAAGAATTTATTGAATGTTTATTATACTTAACAGATTTATATAATGTTTATTATACTTAACAGAAAGCATTCTTATAAGGAAACTTCTAATAATCTATATAACACTGTTGAGTTTCCGACCTTCGGAAGTGGTACAAACTCCCCAAACATCATGAATCTACTCCTTTTGCAGTAACACTGCAGTGAGGACAGCCAGGTCACGTCCAAAATGTCCCACCGAAACTGACTCAGCGCTGGTTTAATCAAAAGGTGAAATGTACTTTTCCTTTCGGTATCTTATTTGATTAGCATCTGGTTTAAAAAATGTAAACAGCCACCTGTGCTCCCAGTTTGCTAGCCATTCTAGCCCCATTAGCTAGGTAAATAAATAAGTTAAGTAGAAAAAATGAGTGTTAATTTAAATTCTTTAATCAATGAGGAATATATAAGAAGCTTTGTTCTAACCCATCAATATACACTGAGGCTAAAATTGGATCCCTTTTATTCTTTTGCCCAATTTCAACCAATAGGAGCTGCAAGATTCCAAATTAAAGCTCCCCAACTCAGTCTATTGTGTATTACAGTTCATGTGGTATAGTTTCCAAGACCACCCACAGTTCCAGGACTGCCTAATGGAAGATTGTATCAGCTGCTGTACCTAATGACAGCTAGATGAGTTAAGAATGAAGTGTTAGCATTCACAGTACTTGTGGGCATCAAAGAGATTACTCACATCATTCCAAAGATAACCTTTGTAACAAAATGCCTTCATTCGTGTAATGTGTTTCTAACTCATCAAGTACATTATCAATTGAAATTGCCTTTAAAAATTTAAATTTCTCAGATAAAAAATTAAAACATAATGCACTAGAGGATCTATTAACATGCATTTAGATCATTTTAAATTATATATTAATGGAAACTGCAAAGCATGTTTCTGGCATCTCACAGTGTCATTTCGCAGCATAATTACAAAGTGCTATGAACTGGTAGTACACTATTGTCCATCACACACCTGAGATCCCGTGGTGTCTCAGAACACTTTCCCTCTGAAAATCCCCTAAAGGCAGAGAGAATACATTTGAACCACAAGACGTCTGGGAGTAAAGGCCGAGGCAGCCCCTCTTCTTCCTCCCCGCCTTCCCTTCCAAAAAGGGACAGTTCTTCGAAGTCTCCTGTTTTGTTTATTAATCTTTTATGATTTACTCCACAATATAGCCACTTTTATTTTAACATAAAAATTATTTAAATTACTATTTAGTTTGCTAGCTTGCTTGGTTGCTTGGTTTTGCATCTTAGAGTAAAACTGATAGTCCGGGAAGATGCACCTGTGTCTCTCCCCAGAACACTGATGCCCAGACTGAGAGGGCCCTGCAGTCAGTGCGCCTTGCTTTGAGCTAAGGGACTCTAGTGGGAAGCCCTGCTGCAGACCCACAGCGCAGCTCTGGGCACCCAAGTCCCTTCGCCGCTTTGGGCCATGGCTTCCTCATGCGTAAATGATAGGGCTATACTAGGTGTGTTGGTCTTTAAAGTCTTTTCACTATCAGTGTGCTATATAATAGTTCTGGTAACACATTCTGTTTTTTTAATGGAAAGAATAACTACTAGCCAATTAATATAAATGAATTCTATGAAACTTTCCCCATAAAAGGATTTTAACAGGACATGACCTCCATATGTGAAATATAAAGATAAAAATCTACTTAACTGTTTTGGCAAATTTAATCTCCCAAAACTATAAATATCAAAACCTGAAAAAAATGTTCTGTTTGTATTATCTTTTGGTTTTGCTTGTTCAATAAAACCATGCTTAACTGGAAATAAGTAATCAGAACTCTTTATTAGTCAAACTTTTTCCTTGGCACATAATTACAAGAGGAAGATGCAGAAAGACAATCTTAGGACAAGTTTTTTGTCATTTAAAAATGTCTAAATTATGTACACTTATTCATGAGACTGTGTCTAACATACTGTCCATCCTTAACTGTGACATTCTGGTTTCAAGCTCAGGCTCTGGAATCAACCCCGGGATGAAATTTATCATCCTTCCAAGTCTCAGTGCTCTCGGTTGTAAGATAAAAATAATAATAATTCCTCATGAGGGGGCATTAAATGAGATAAGTGAAGTGCTCAGAACAGTGTTTGGCCCAAGGTTAAGTGCCCCACTAATGTTATCCATTATTAATACCATTACTAGATGCTGGGAATTGACGTTTCCCTTAACATTAAAGGCCCATCGTCAACATTAGACAGACACTTGGAGCATGCCAGAGATACTTTAATAGGGAACTAACCCAGACCACTTGGCCAAGTGTTGTCCAAATTACCTTCCAAAAGCATATTCTTTGATTAAAAAGCTTCCATCTTCCTACTCTTCTCCTCAGCACAATCCCAACCCAAGTCACCATCATGGTGCTCAGCCTTGAATAGACAGTCTTCTCTGCTGGCTTGTGATTCCTGGCACATCCAGAATCAGGATCCTCAGGATTATCACACGGTTACTTCCTTTCCTAGCTGACAAAACTAACCCACCCAACAGCACCCCCAGGCTCAGTCTGGCCAGGTTCACCCAGACCTCTCTGCCATGGCTTGTATGTCCCCACCCTCATGCACCTCAGTCTCTTTCTTTATAAGATTTTATTTATTTATTTACTTTTAGAGAGAGGGGAAGGGAGGGAGAAAGAAAACGTGTGAGAGAAACATCAGTTTGTTGCCTCTTGCACACTCCCAACTGGGGACCTGGCCTGCACTAACTCAGGCATGTGCCCTGACCTGGAATTGAATAGATGACCTTTCTGTTTGCAGGACAATGCCCAACCCACTGAGCCACACCATTCAGGCCAGGGCAGTCTCTTTCTTTCCAGATTTCAGTTTGACACCCCTCACCCCTTCAGTAGCTCCTTATTTCATTCAGAATCAAATCTAAACTCCTTCACGCAGCCTTCTAGACCCTCCTTTCTTCCTCAGCCTCAATTTCCTTGTCGGCTCTCCACCCCACTACCCGGCCAGCAGCTGTGTTGAAGTACTGAACAGTTCTCATAACTCCACATTATTCATCTGCACCTCTAGGTCCTCAGGAGTTCTCTTTTCTTTTATAACACTCTTTCCCCCTCTCCCTGAATCCCCTCCTTCAGATTCCTCATCCCTAATTTCTATGTGGTCTTAAGTTCTCAGCTTATATGGGAGCCTTTCCTGACTGTGGAAGATTTGATTAGGGACCTGCTCATACGTTCCATGGCATTCTAGCCCTTAGGGTTTTCCAACCCTAATTGGAGTTTTATCAAATATCATTGTAATAGGCTGCGTGCTTATTTGTCCTAATCCAAATAATAAATTGCCTGATGACTGGGGCTGGTTACCACTGTACCCTCAGCCCTGAATTAAGTCCTCAGTAAGTATTTGTTACATGGATTTATTTTGTATCTGTCTTGATATAATCATCTTTGGTGTCCAACCTAAACTAGGTACATTGATAATAACAGTCATTTTTAATAAATTGCATCAACATTAGAAACAACCATTAACCAGCCAACCACAGAAGTGATATGGACCTAATGAAACACATCGACACTCACTTTCCTGCCATGCTGTCCTGAAGAATGTTGCAGAGAGGTCTTTGAGGAACCATGGCATTTTTACTGAGTAGAAATTTGCTAGTGTGGTTATGTATCTTCAAAGTGGTCCCTTCCCTCCTGAAGGCTAAAGAACATGAGGTGGA